TTTTCAGGAGCATTTTTCTAGCTTAGGACCCCCGTCTGTAGTAAACAAATTATTGGTGATTTTTTTTCTTCTCACCCAGATTACCAGCAAAATTTATGCATAAAGTAGACAGTGTTGCTCCAACGTGTTATATGCAGCCTACAGAGGATGGCTGCTGTGACAATTATGTAAATATTATTGCATGCTCTACTTATTTGGTCCATGTTGTGTGGAATACTATGAATTCTTTTTTTTTTTTTCAAAAGGAAAACATCTCCCCAGAAATCATTTAGGTGGGCAAATTTACACCAACTTTTTCACCAAACACAATTTTCCAAATTTCTGTAACCTATTTTGTCTTATCGTACACCAGAATTATTTAATGCAGTTTTTAAAGCTAAATTTCTCTTGAATCTTATTGTTTAAGCCACGGAGAAAGGTCCTAAATCCTTAATGTTACTGTGATGTGCTTGGAACATCTAAAATGTTAGATGGGATTGTTGAAAATTTTTTAATATGTTGGTTATATGCACTTTAATCTCCACTTATGATGACTCTCTTTGGAGAAAGAAAGCATCCATTTGGTTTAAAGGATCACAGCAAATAAGTATTTTTATTGTAACATAAAAATGGTTTATTCCTATATTAGTTTTCTCTTTTACTGCAGGGTAGTAACTACTTTCCAAATGCCAAATCGGTTTCTGCTGAGTGATGCTTTTCTACAAGTGTATGACATTAGTAATCAAATGTATATAAAGTATCAATTGACGTTGGCTTTTACCAATATGAACTGTATGTATACAGTTGTTTGATAAACTTTTTGTAATAAAATATTCGTATTTTTTAACTTAGTATATAAATAAATCATTGGTGGTAGTGGATGTCTTGTATTTTGTTTTGCTTTTTGGTTTTCTAGTCCTGTTGGAGTTGCTCATGTAACAAATCCTAAATCAAAAGTTGTTTTCAGAAAGTGTAAATCTTTTTAAAGGCCTTTGACTTGCATTTTCTCTCAAAATTTGAGACTATGTATAGATGTGTATCTAAACTTTTTCTGTAATATTTTATGCAAGCAATAATCTGCACTGCTTATAAAATCAAAATTAAACACTGTCAAAAATGTTTTGGTTCCCAAAGAGCTTAAATCCATTTGCATTTAGGGTGTACTGGGGCTGTGGTTCACCTCTTTCCTCTTTTCTCCCCTGTATTATGCACCACAGTAGTTGCAATCGATTATTTCTAAAGCTGTTTCTAATCTGATCTCTTGTGGTGCAGAGCTTTGATTTGTACAAACTTTGCAGCTTGGATTGACGCATGGTGAGTGTGGTTTCTTTATTTAGAATAAACGTTATTTGTATTAACATGGCAGGTAATAAGCATAGCAGTATGTCTTAGTGATCAAACAGCTGGAATCTCTCCATTTCATTACTACAATTCCAAGCTATGGCTTTCCTTCTTACATGTGGTCACTTATGTGCATGTGATAGGAGAGGAGTGAGAAGGGATTTTATAATTGCTTTTGTTCTTTATAACATGACTTACTGTTCTATTTTTATGCAAACCATATTTGATATGTGCTGTATATCTTTGTTATATTTTGACAGGTAATGGTTCGCTCACTCTGTCATGAAGTATAAGGGGGCTTCAAAAGACAAAAATCTTCTCAAGTACAGACATTGTCAACTTCTTGTTCATCTTTTCTATCTTTTGCACTGCTACAGAAAAACATTTCAAGCCTCAGTAGCATTGTTTTAAACTACAAATAGGATTAAAATCAGTAGAGCACCAAAAGGAAAAAGATGTTGGGCATACTATTTCTTGACCTACACTATGTGAAAGGGAAATAGATCATTTTGTGACAAAAAATATCTTTCTGTATATGTATAGACAATGATATACACACACATATATATGTAACTGTGCTTCAGAGGAGATGCTGTTTGTTTTTGACGATCACATGGAGCAAGATGATCTGTTCATCTTTCTCATAACAAAATATCTAGTATATTTAGTTGAAATGCAATTGATGTAATCTGAAAACATTTAATGCATGAATATTGTGGAACTTAGCTTAGGTATCTTGTAACAACAAGCTCTTAAACTTTCTAAAAACACTCAGTTGTTGGCACATCTCACTGTGTGTGTTTTAAGACTAAAAATCAGCTATTTATACATGTAGTTCATGGAACATTTTGTTAGAAATTTCTAAGCCAAGGCCTGCATAGCCAGCTCACCAACCCCATCAAGTGGTAAGGGATGAGGAAGTACTAAAATTTTCACTCTTTCAAAATCTATGCTGTCTTCCACTGACAGGTTCAATTTGTTACGTTTTTTGTTTTACTTTTTTTTTTTTTTTTCCCTTCTTCCCACATTATCAATTTTATCAATTGATAATGTGGGAAGAAGTGTGTTTTTTGTCTGTTTTTTGAGGGCAAGGAGAAGTGGTACAGAGAGAATGTGGTCAGTGCAGAGTGCATTTAAGTAGCCAAAATCTTCTGTGCTTTTACCTGTATCAGGTGGGTTTGCACTTCTCAATGTTAGTGTTAGCTAAATGAGGCCTGTTTTCTTCAGTTTATACCTATGACAATTCTGTCCAAAAACCCCTTTAAAATGGTTTATTGAGCTCTTTTTTTAGGGTACTTAATTATTCCTAAGGAAGTTCTTCAGAAACAAGGCCCTTCTAGGTCAGCAGCACAGCAGCCATTGGCATTAAGACCAAGTAGCCAATGTTTTACCTCGGGGGCTTGCAGCCAAGATGCTCTGGGTGCTGTGTACTTCCTGGTGGTGCTGCTGGTAACTGCCTGATGCCTGGAAATCCTTTGGTGGTTCTGTAGCATGCGCGTAGCTCAGCTGCGTGACACAGCTGCAGGAAATCAGCGTGGGATTTACAGTCTACGATTTAATCAAAAACACAGCATGTATTCCTTAAGCCTGATATTTCCTGGAAATGTCAGCCTTATGACACTTGTGTATGCTTTTATTTCTCTGTGTGGTCTTGGTGAAACATGACTGAACCTTTAAGATTTCTTTCTGGGTTCGTGGAATCACAGAACTGTAGGGGTTGGAAGGGACCTTGAAAGATCATAGGGTCCAACCCCCCTGCCAAAGCAGGTTCCTCAGAGCACGCTTCCCAGGTAGGCGTCCAGACAGTTCACCTTTGCAGTCAGGCAGTTCGAGGTGATGTGCTGAGCTGGAGGCTGTTTCAGTGTACTGCCTCCCAGAGACCTCATTTCTAGAAATTTGACTTTCCCAGGCATGTTCGTAGTTATTAAGGTTGGAAAAGACCTCTAAGATCATCCAGTCCAACTGTCCGCCTACCACAAATATTACAGACTTGTACAAAGACTTTTAATGCTGGAAATGAGCTGAGAGACTGACCAGCTGGCAGAGGACCCAAAGTTGTGGTGCTGAAGGAAATGTTGAAAGGAAGAAATTTCAATTGCAAAATAAAGATTGAATGGATAAATGGAAAAAATGAAGTGTGTGACAAAAATTGCTGCTTGAAAAAATGGTGCAATGAGTAACTTAGTCCTAGTTATCCTGGTCACAGACAGACAACTCCTGATAGGAAGAAAAGCTTTTTTAATTAAGAAGTGTCCCATAAGACAATGAGTTCAAACATGGCTTAGCAGGCAAGCTGTATTTGGCATTTCTGACCTTTGGAAGTGTGAATGTTCTTTGAGAATGGCTTGTGTGTAGGAAGAAATAGAAACATAAAGGACTCCAGACATTTAGTAAGGCAGTAATCTCCAAATTCTGCTAGAAACTGTTTTCAGGTGTTTTTATTACTGACAATATTTGTATTATAAGATCTGATTTGCTAGATATTTTTAAAATCTGGGTTATATTTTTGAAAATAATAATTTCTTTGAACTATAGAAAGCACCACATCTCCATGAATAGAAACAAACTGGAATAGGGCAATGCAAAGGAAAAATAATCTGCATTATTCCCTTGAATGGGGGGCACGAGTAGATCCTCTTTTTCCTATGAGCAAAATAAGTCTGAAACGGCAGAAATTTCATTATGATCTGGGATGTGGGGGTATCCTTGCTCCTGTGCTCTTGCCGAAAGCCTGCAGGTGGCAGTAAATTTATGCCCAAGTTACTGGTAGGTTTTGAATTTTCTGTCAAGATCCTGTTAGTTTTTTTTTTTTTTTCCTACTCTGTTTCTCTTGGTTGTAGCACTATTACAATTGGTTTTAATCCTAATGCATACTAATTAAGGGATATTTAAAAAGAACAGATAGTACACAGAGCTCTAAAGAAGGATTATCTTTTGCTACTGTATCGTGAAGGAAAATTGCTTTGTAAAGGCTTAGGAAGCAATAGAAATGGATTAGATGTTTTCTAGTTGCTATAGAAACAAAATATGTAATTAAACAAAACGAAATATATTTCAACTCTTACACTGATGAAAAGTACTCAGGAAAGGTTGGACAATGAGTATTTTATATTGCAACATCAAGAAATAAACAGGATTTGGGATTATTTTTCTAATACGATTTTTGCCTACTGCATATTTGGCACTCAGCTAACCCAAAGCAAAAATATTTTGTTTCCTAGGGTGAAGTTATAAAAGGGAGTGTTAATCAGTAAGCAATACGTTGATGCCTCTCATCAGTACTGCTGCAAATTAGTAACATTGATATTATGTGATACTGATGATACTATGAAATGATACAAACTTTAAGTACGATTTTGTATCGGATAATATGTCAAAAGATCTGTCATCAAATCAGCAAGTACTGTGGGGTTAGCATGCATTTCGAGTCAGCGAGCAGTTAGTACCAGCTGCCAGAAGAGGGCGCTTTGAGGTTTCTTATGAAATATTTACTTTGAAAGTTGCACTTTTTTTTTTTTTTAATCATAAAATTTAATGGTTTAAATTTCAGAAAGGTAGCAGTGACTGTTACTGCTCTTTGTTAGCTTAATTCTGAAGTTGACCACATTTGCTAACAGTAAATTAAGGATGCACGCTTCTGTGGAAGGATCTTTTATTTAGCACATGGTTCAAAGTGTGGCCATAGGAGGAGCACTAAAATTGGTTGGCTTTCAGTTCTACAGAAAAGAAAAAGGAGATACGTGTAGAATGTGCCAATATACGATTTGTCATCTTTATTTATCAGGGTGAAGCAAATGAAGGAAGATTTAAAGAAACCCTGTATTCAGATCAATGTTTGTTTTCATGTTCAGGTACTTACCACAAAATGTGGCTAAAATGACAGAATCTACCCAATTCAGGCACTGTTTACCTTGGAAGCACTTCATGTGGTATGCCTCCACCTGCTTGCAAGGCTTCTACATGAAATGAATTTATTTTATCACTTCTTATGATCCTTCCTTTATTTTACAATACCTAGCTGTAGTCCTTGGCACCTCCAGGTCTCAACAAATCGTAGGACATTTCAGAAGGGGACACAGACAGCAAGCACTGCTACAAGGGCAAAGTTTGTCCCGTCTCTACCCGCTCACTCGAGACCAAAAGGGAAATAGAGGGGGAAAAAAGAGGACAAAAGAAAATCCTGGAATTATCTGAGACAGGAATTCATTTCAGGTCTGCCTGCCTGCCTACCTTTTATTCCTTCAACAACCAGTTGTTTCATCCTCAGGTACGTGTGCCCTGTTGTGATGCCCTATATTTAAACTGATTTCTAAAGCATCTCATCCATTAGTCCAGGCAACCAATGCTATCATACAAACATCTTTAAGTAAACAAGCAAAAATAGAAAAATATTTTGACTTTTCCTCTTTGTTTTTCTTCTTTTGGGTTGTGTGCTGAAACCTATTCACCCTGCATGCTTTAGCCTACCTGCCACTGCTAAGATTTCAGAAGGCAAAGACTTGCTTTTTTTTTTTTTTTTTTTTTTTTTTTTTTTTTTTTAAATCAGGCAAAGTTACCTGGAGTTCTTCATAGTTACAAAGTAGACTAATCTAACAAAGAAATTGGTTGTGTATGGTGGGGAAAATGTGTTGGTTTTAAATGTTTTTGGAGTGTTTATAGGTTAAATAAATAAATAAACTGCTGCAACTTAGAATGTAACATCACTGCCACCCCCAAAAAAAAATTGCAAAAAATGTTTAAAAATGAGGGGAGGGCAATGCCAAAGATGTGTTAGAGTTAACTCCAAAAAACCCATGTGGGAAGGTATAATTGTGTTTTAGTAAAACCATTGCTTAATTATTAAGGAACAGGTTTATTTTGGAATATTATGAAAGCATCTTCTTCTTTATACATATTTAAAGATACTGAAGTGAAACACAATTCACTGATATTATTTACTTGTATGTATTTAAAGTTAATAAACGTTTGTCTAGAGTCTTGCCTTAAGCTACTAAATTGTTTCCATTTAAAATTCTTCACTGTGATTCTTCACTTTTATCAATAGTTTAAAAAACCTTTTGTGATACAAAATGCTGTAATGGATCAGATGTTATTTTTTCAATCCTGTCAAAAAAAAAACATTTTAACATGTAAATCTGGTACTTAAGTCCTGTCTGTGCTGGTATGAAATATCTGCCTGTTTGTAAAAATTCCAACGTTTTGGATTATATTTTGTTATGCACAACTGTATCTAACAGCAAAACAAAAGGAGTAAATCAGTGATACTTCTCTAGAACTAAGAGATATAAACACTATCCACACTGAATATTATCCCAAAACTTTCAAAATTTAATTGAAGAAAACATTTGGGTGCAATCTGTCCAGAGAATAACTGCTTTTGGATGTCTAGTAATTGTCTGTTAATGTCTCTTATTGATAAGTGGTCTTGTTTGTACTTGACAAGTTGATTTGCATTTTGAGCTTGAATTTCTCTGATTATTACTTTTTTTCCAAATTTTTCACAAGAGGATTGTGTCTCAGCTTTGTGAAAAAAATTGCTTAGGGACTCTTTTTTTTTTTTTTTTTTTTTCTCCCATCTCCTAAGCCTTCCGTAATGGAGGCATTTGATCCTAATGAAAAATCGCCCTAATGTCTCTCATGTCAAATGGAAGCAGTAGGTGCTATCTGCAGTGTTATTTCAAACAAGCAAAGTAAATAAGAGTTTAGAAAGAGTTAGAAAAACTGTGAATTGCACTAAACACCAAGGAAAAAAAAATATCTTATTGGAAGTCTGAGTCCTCAGAGCTGCTATGTTCTCGCTAGTTATGGGTTGGTTGCTCTGCATTCTCGTCTGGATGCACTGGCATCCAGACTTGCTGACAGAATCCCCCCCTTTCACCCGAGTTGTTTCAGCTGCATGTGCTGAATCATCTGGTGGCTGCTGGCTTCTCTCTCTTCTATGAGATCACAGAGCCTTATAATACACCTCACAGGTAAGGGGAAATCACCACAAGTGTTGTATCCAGTGTCATTGTGCTGGAAATCTTGTTTTACCTCACTATAATGCAAAATTGTCACCATTTACTTATCCTCTTAAATGATTAACAACATGCCCTGTGTTATGCTCTGAGTGTGTTTAGCGTCTGTAAAATACCAAATTCCTGATTTTCTGTGGTTAGCACTACACCAGACACTACTTGACCCTTAAGCCATCTGCACCTTTCTAAAGGCTGTGATGTTTTTCACTTTTTTTTTTTTTTTTTACCAACCAAATAATTTCCAAGCTTTCTTATCTTGGCAAAATGATTGTAAAAATTGTTCTCCTTCAGTGTTTGCCACTCAGCTCTTGATTGCCTTGGTGTGAGGAGACAGCTAAAGTATTTCAGTCCAGGGTATTTATTCAGCATCAAACATGATGCCAAAGCAGTTGGCGCACTACTATGGTGGATATGAAGCTGCATTACAACTGGTAGGGCTTTCAAACACATTCAAATGCAACCTTCAAATGCATTCAAAAGAAGAAAATCTTTTCTTAATCACCATTTGGAGAAAAAAATAACGGACGCTCTTTAAGAAGAGTGGGGGCTGAAAAGTTGTATTTTCAGATTTCATCAAAAAAGTAGATGTGACAAAATTATAAAAGTATCAGATCAACTTAATCTTTTACAGGGAGATATATATTATCTTATATATATTCTTAAATACTAAGGAAGACCATAGAATGTTTTAGTGCTTCACACTTCTTTAAGTGAAATAAGCTAGAATCCTCTCTCTGGCTCTATCACGGTGCACAGAGGAGTTATATTGTGAAATATGACGTGAAGCATTAACCAAAGTGAAATGATGGATAAATGTGAGCATTGATAAAGTGCCAGAATACATTCCCCAAACTTCTGAGGAAGTGTTCAAGGTACCATTCTACCACCAATTATTCTAAGTCTCTTGTGGGCAAGATCCAGAGGAGCGGGTACACGGCTGAGTCTGCTTGCAGGTGCTGCAGACAGCAATAGTGCAGTACTGTGCTGAACAGCCTGAAACTTGGCACCTGTGGAAAAACTTATGAGATACTGTGATAAAATGTATTAATTACAAAACACAGCTACTAAATGATCATATTTGTTCAGGTTCTTTTCCTTCATTCTCTTATTGCGTGGTCTTGCTACTTGTGTAACTGCAGTATTCCTTAAATCTCTAAATAGAAAGTAAGGAAAAGCTTACATTGTTTTTTATTTATTTATTTATGAAGTCTTTCTTCCATTGTTTCCCTTTTAAATAGTTTGAGATGCATATAAATATTCCTGATGATTAGGCAGTAGTGAGCCAATTCCAACATGCCTGCAAATGAAGCATTTTTAATCAGGCTTCATGTGAATTGGGCTCTATCATAAAAATTTCATGCTCAACTCACAAAAAGCTGTTTCTCATTTTAAGTAATGCTCACTCTGTTTTGTTTTCTTTTTTCTTTTTCTGCTTTTATGGAATATAAATAGCCTGGTATTGTTTGGAATAGCATAGCATAAAAATGTTTTTCCTGGCTATGTAGGACTCACGATGTGGTTTGCTTTATTATTGTATTTTATAAAAGATTTTTTTTTTCTTTTTTTTTCTTTTTCTTTTTTTCTTCCAGAAGACTCACCCTAACACGTTCATATTTTATTTTATGAAGGAGTCCATTGCCATAGTGGTTATCCCTGATACCTTAGGCCAGACTAATGACATTATCCCTGGTTTTGACTTTAGAAACATACCTAGCCAGACTGTTGTTAGCACCTGTGTTCGGTGATATCCATTTAGAGATGCCTTCAGCTTTGCCAGCTTTGGGGAATTTGGCATCCTTCCCTTGGCAGGAGCAATTACAGCATGGGTAGGCAGACACATTCACACCTCTGGGTGCTGCACAAACAGCTCTCAGCTGGCCCTTGCTATCACCAGGGGAAGCAGCTCTGCCCATCCTATGTGTATTTCATATCAAAGCAGTGAGCAAGCAAAACACAATGAGGAATAGGGTTTTATTTCCTTTATATCTTTGTTTATAACCTTTATAGTGCTTTATGTCTTAATTGTAAATGAAATCCCAAATGTTCATACTGTTGCCTGCTGTCCATATTTTTTTGTTCTTGGTAATTTGTAGCCTGAAAGTTATCACAGAACACAGTTTCTTTTCTAAACTGCTAGGAAGTTATCAGAAACAATCATGAGAAGAGTATTACGGACATTTCAGAGTTTTCTATGTATATTATCACGTTTGGGAATTTAATTTTTATAGTTGGCACATCAAGTTTAAATATGTGTAATGGATTTTCTTTTTTAAATGCTGTGAGGAATCCTTGATGAATCCTTGAGGAAAACAGAAAAATATAGAGGATCTAGGGCTTTGCAGCTTGTTCAACTAACAGGGGATTGCCATGTGCACCAGGAGCACCAGCAGCATGCTCATGGCAGCAGCGATTCCAGCCAGGGTGCTGAGGAGCTGGCCATTGCCATCACCATACCAGCAAGCTTCAGGGCCTTGTCCTTGTCCAAAAGGCAGCACCTTCTCCTGTGAACATCCTTTGTGGCTGACAGTAGAAATGAGCATAATTGCTTTCTTTGGAGAAAATTCCATAAGAGCTTGAAAGACCTAAATGACTGTAGGTGTACAAAGAAAAGATGAGTGCTATTGCAGCCACTCTGAGGACCTGCTATTCAATTCCAGTTGTTTGCCTTTTGTTTTGTGTAGTGTAGGTGCCTGTTAATGTTGGTTTAGCTCTGTGCATATCAGGTGCTGTCAGAACAGGCAGGCCACTCCTGTACCTGAGAAACCTGGATAAACATTTGCATTCCTGGAGGGCCTTACTGACCTGAAGGAGGGTTGCAGAGGTATCACATCTGCTTGTGAAGGTGCGCAACTGTTGAAGGATCAGGCTTTTGGCTTTCAGTGAGAAGGGAGAATTACCTACCTTCTATCAGCTTCTATGTTTAAAACTTCTGTACTCCTAAGGCTACCATGTCACTGTCTGTGCCACTGATGATGTTCCTTCCAAGCTGGTAGGTACAGATGTGAGCTCCTGCAGCAGTAGAAATTGCTGTTGACATTGCATAATATAGAATTTGTCTGTTAATGTTCTGCATAAGATCACTTTAAGAAACCTATAGAAATATTTTTTTGTAGTGGTCTGTGATTTAAACCACAAGTATTTTTTACACGCAGAAACAGAGAATGGGAGCCCTGTCCCTTGCTGTGAAGTGTGGGCAAAGTTGGCTTCTCTGTGGGTTCAGGGTCAGGTACACAGCATCCAGGGGTTGGCA